GAGGAGAATTCTTTTGAGGAAGGTTGAACTTGAGGTATTTATTCCATATCCAAGTGCACATGCTTTGTTTTAGTTGGATGAAGGGAGAGAGGATTTGGGACTTGTCTGTGTAGTAGTAAATGAAGCCTTGGATTTGAATCAGATTTCTCAGGCACGGGTCCAGGTCTCTTGTTATACCTTATTCTAAAAGTCTATCCCTTGAGAAATAAATTGTTCCCCAGAGACAAGGATACACATGGCCCTTGAATCATGTTCCTGGTCCTTGCTGTCAATCCCAAATCCGAGTCTCTCTTCACAGTCAGTCACAAGAATCCTGGGACATGTAAGTGAAACTGACTGTTTCCTATTGTTCTTATAACTAGAAGTAAACAATACTATAAATCTAAACCAAGTACATTTTAAATCTATTAGAGTCATAGTAATAAGTCATTATTTTTGCTTTTCTATCTTGGAGTTTACTGTAAATTGGTTATCAAATGCTTTTCATTAATTTATCCTCATGAAAGCAGATGCTAACGTAACATCATAAATTCAGCTTATGATAGTAGCATACCTGAAAACCCCCTCTTGATATATAATTATAATGCCAGTTATTTTAATGTATTTACTTGACAGCTTTGTTGGGAACTTTAGCCTTTCTCCAGCCATATCTTCAATTATGAGTCCTTCCCATTCCACCTGTTCCCTGCCTTCTGCTAGTTATTTGCCTTGAGAAATTCTGAGTTGTGCTTTAACTTCTCCTCTCCCTATAGCATTGTAGCCCGGCTTCTTGATTTGCTTTTCTTTCAAGCTTCTCTGACCCTATTGCCTGGTTGTTTTTTTTCTTTTTCTTTCTGACTCCAGCAGTTTCATAACGAAGCTGCGTTTTTGCCATCGGGAGGTCAGGTGGAGTATGAACATATGACTGCAGAGACCAGAATGAGAGCCTGCACAACTGCAAGGGCACTATGATGGCTGTGGCTCCCATAGATATAGTTTTAGAGAAGCAGTTGCCCTTCGTGTGTGGGTCCTTCAAAATTCAAGGACAGCCAGCTGCCTGTAATTTGTAGACATACTCAAACATTTTTATGGCTGCACCTAAATGTGAAGGGGGAAAGTTGGATCAATTCCTGCAAACATTTAAAAGGAGTGCATTTACAGTGTCAGTAGTGGTCTGGATAAAGATAATGAAAAGTGTGCCTTTTTTTTTTTTTTTTTTTTTAGAACTCCTGATCACGGCTTTTTTTTTTTTGCAAGCAGTCAATCAGCTATTCATTTAGACCTGCATACACCACACTCACTGACTCTCTTAAAATCATTTCAGGGGTGTTCACAGATATCAGAGAAAATGTTTAGTTCACAGATACACACTGTAATATGGAGTAGAATGCCAGTGTAGAAAGCATATATGGAATGAGACTGAAACTTTGTAATTAATTATTGGATAGTGACATTTTAACAATAAGCTGTATTTGACTCTGTTTTCATGCCAGATGAAAGAAGATAATTCCCAGCTGTTTCATTTAAATTCTAGACCTCCGTAGAAATCCACATGCTAGCAAGTAAATAGAACTCCTTTTCAGTTTTTCTAAATGGTAAATCAGATTTATATGAAAAACCAGATTATATTTTCTCTGACAATAGTATTGGAAAAGGTACTATTCCCAAATCTTAATTCATTGTATTACAACTACCCTTCCAATACTTTGGATTGTATCCATGGAAATTCATCAGAGTGCAAGAGTTTTGTATTGTTTTCTTTTATTCCCCTTGCCCCTGACATCAGCTCTGATGTTAAGCCATTCTTTTAGTTATAGTTAAAATGAGACATGCATGGGTGATTTGCAGTTAACTCCTCGCCTCCACACACACAAATGCCTCAGCCTCACATCTAATCATGATTCATGCCTTATGCCAAATTCTTACTGTCATCCCAGCACCAGCAGATGGTGGGACATGACCCCTGGGGCAGTCTGACCCAGTGTTCTAAGGTTGTACATCTTTTGGTAGCAACGGTCAGAAAAGGAAGAATTTTAATGTGGCAAATTGAGTTTTTCTTTTGACTTCTTGCTTTAAAAAAATTAATTAATGGAAATTTGGTGTCAGATTTTCAGGTGGTACCATAAAAACTTATTTTTTAATCCCAGAAACAAAAGTGAAAAGGCACATTGTATTTTATAAATGGGCTTGCTGAAAGAAAGGACAGCTGCTGTGTTTATATTTTGTCATGCAAACTCTACGTTTGTAGTAATCTGAATTGTGAGAAATGAGTGAATAACAGCATACAAAAAGACAAATTTTATTTATTTATGCTTAAGTACATTTTCTGTTGTAAAGAATGGCACCAGTGGATGCTAGGTGACACACATGTTGAATAGTTAGTGTAGTTGAGACTGAATTTGCTCCTTATGCTCTTTGATTAGTATGATTGGTGACTTTAGACAAGTTTACTTCATCTTTCTGGACCTCTGTTTCTTCACCTAATAAAAAACGTTGTTTTAAAGTATCTCCGAAATAATCCTTTTTATTATAGAACATAAAATGTAAGAAACCAAAATGGTATTAGCTGCTTTAAAGTGTTCTAGGCCTATGGTAGGAAAAGGAAATGCATGGATGGAGTTTCAACATTAACTAATCCTGATTACTTGATCTTTTGTACTGGATAGATAAACATACACATAATTACAGTATTTGCAAAGGAATGTTTTTAAGATAATAAATCCATGGAATTTTTTACAATTTTCAATTTTTACAAGTTTTTCCATGTAATTTTCTATTGATTTAGCCATTAATTCTAGCTTCTCCTGATGACTTTAAGAGTATTAAAGCTCTCTTGCCCAGAATCCTGGGTAGTCATGGGTTGCGCAGAACATTGCTGTGTAGCTTTTGGACCAGAACCCAAGATTAGGGCTGCCTTTTGCAGTCAGTAGGCATGCGCTTACAGTCACCTGTGCATGCATTTCACTCAGGGTTTTATCTTACTGTGCATGAACAAAATTTTTTTTTTCTATTCTTTTGTTGTAGATGTTAATTCTATTGCTCTTTTTAAGGAATTGCTGGTCCTTATTCACCAAGTTGATTTCAGGGTTCTTGATGGATTGGGACCCACAGTTTGACAAACACTGAGCTGAACAATCAGCACTTACTATAAAGAAATAATTATTTTTTAGACTTTCTCAAATTATTAAAAATGATTTCCTACTCTTTATTAATCACAGCCACTGTCATTTACTTAACAAGAAATCTTTAGAGTTCTTTTATTTATATGTGTATTCAAAGGCTATAAAAGATATTGAGGAGCTATACATAGAAACAACATTCAGATAGAATGTTTTGGGGTGTCTGTGAGTTTGATATAGCTTTGGACGGCCTGTCTTTTAATGTTCAGAGTAGTGTTCCTGTTTTGCTGGAAGCCTGGCGTGGGGTGTCTTGCATGGGGGTTTGCTGGCTCTTGGGTGGAGCTTGGTCTCAGGGCAGGTATGGGAGGCTTTTGGGTGGGCTTCCGTCTGTTAATGTTCCCAATGTCAGGAGTCCTGTGGTGGTCCAGAGTTCTGGAGTTGAACCTCCTGCCTCGGTTTTGGTCCCCCTCTTACGGTAACATCAAGAGTTTTCCCTTCATATGGCACAGAAGGCAGAACCCCTAGGTTAATGGTGAAATGACTTTCCGGAGCCAGGAACACCCAAAGAGATTCACAGTTATATAAAGAAGAGAGGAGGGAAATAGAGGTGACCAGAGGGAGAAAATGGAGAGTCCAAAGGGAAGAGAGCAATCAAGCCAGTCATCAGATCCTTCATTTTTAAGAGATTGGTTTGCCTTTCTGGTCCTCTGCCAGCATTCAGAAGTTGTTTTGTGAAAGTTGCTCCACATGCAGGTGATCTTTTGATGTATTTTGGGGGGAGAAAGTGGTTTCCCTGTCCTGTTCTTCCATCATCTTGGGATTGCCCCCTAAATAGAATGTTTTAATGAGCCTTATAATGTTCTGTTTTTAAACACATGGCATTCCTCTTCACTGTTCAGAGTCAAATAGTAATTTTAGATTTTGTTTCCTTGAGCTTTTATTGCCATCATCATTCCAGGTGTACATCATCCCAGTTACTGTTTTTTAATAGGTCAAACTTTTTTACATGAAGTGGCTTGGCTTCATGCAAAGGCGCTTCATTTGCAGTTTCACAAATATGAAAAACAAAGAAAAGAAGTGGACCTCTTGAATTTCTATATAACCATATAGAATTCTGAATGAAAGTGAAAGTTGTTCAGTCGTGTCCAACTATTTGCAACCCCACGGACTGAATAAAGTCCATGGAATTCTCCAGGCCGGAATACTGGAGTGGGTAGTCTTCCCTTCTCCAGGGGATCTTCCCAACCCAGGGATTGAACCCAGCTCCCGCATTGCAGGTGGATTCTTTACCAGCTGAGCCACCAGGGAAGCCCAGAATTCAGAATACCATGGCCTTATTGCTGCCTAAACTGCTTCCGTTTTTCATTAGTGGTGTTTTGAATAGGTTCTGTGAGAAACTTATCTCAGTAATCATATGGAACTGAATAGTCTCTTCTGTCACTCCATGTAAAATGATATGAGGTGAGTTTTTTGCACATGTAATTGCCACTTTTAATTACTGTAGCATTATTGGAAGTCATAGAATTTATATGTATATAACAATACAATATTAGGAAACTCAGAAGGGAAGTAGAAAATAAAGCATTCCTACTCTGAATAGACAGGATTGGAAATAACATTGAAAAGTAAGTGTGGTATGCAAATGGTATATTCAGAAAGGATTCCTTTGTAATCTGACTGTAGGTTTACAAGAGATTGTATTAAAAAGTGTTTCGCATAGGGAAAAACCCATGATAAAAGTGGCTTGTGGACCTGAAGATAATTTTATATAAATACATTTTAATATAAATAAATAATTTCTACTATAGATGGTGACAATTCTTAAAGAATTTACTGTAGATGTAATTGTCATTGTTAGTGTTGAAGATGTTCACTGAAGCTCTTTGTATGTATCTCTTTCAGATATGGAAACAAGTGAAAAAATCCAAGGAAGTGGAATACTTCAAGTGTTTGCAAGTCTGTTGATTCCACAGTCCTCCTGCACAGCCAAAGTAGCTAACATCATAGCAGAAATAGCCAAAAATGGTGAGGTTTTCCTCAAGAGCTTTTCTCCTGGAAACATCTTCAGTTTTACACCCTACCTGTCAGTATGTTTTATTAATTTATGTTTCCATTTTGTAGATTAGACCTTTTTTAAAAAATTTTCTTTGTTTTTCTTTCCATTAACTTTTTTTCATGTGATTGTTTAAAATGACTGTAGTCCTTCTGTTCATACATTTCCCGTTTGTTCTTCCATTCTGTCAGAGTAGAGTTAAAGAATAGCACTGCTCATCCCTGCTGTTCCTCTATTGCTTATACTTTGGCTATAGGATTCTCAAATTGTCACTGAGTCATTCATCTTCATTGTCACAGGAGACCTTACCTTTTTCAGTGTATACATTGTTTTCTGTTATATCCAGAAAATATGTTTGTCTGACCTATTGACAAACCTACTGACATGGCAGCTGACTGCAGTAGTGCAGTCAGAATACATACTGTGTTTTCTGAGTTCCCCTTCATGAGAATCATTTATTTCTTAAGTTTCCATGAAAATCTACTCTGGAGAAATAACCTCAAAGCATGGATTATATAATAGCCATCCCGTTATACATGGTTTGTATCCAAGGGAGAGGGGATTCTTTGGAAGATATTTCAGCAATATTTTGTAGCAGGAATATTCGTATATGATTTTAGTTCAGTCAATTTAAGAAAAACACTGACTTAAAAATTTTTTTTTAAACTTTCCATTACTCTATGAAGTGAATCAAAGAGGATTTGCTGTGATGTATGTCAAAGAGTGTATTGCTTATGTTTTCCTCTAAGAGCTTTATAGTTTCTGGCCTTAAATTTAAATCTTTAATCCATTTTGAGTTTATTTTTGTGTATGGTGTTATAAAGTGTTCTAGTTTCATTCTTTTACAGGTAGCTGTCCAGTTTTCCCAGCACCCCTTATTGAAGAGGTTGTCTTTTCTCTATTGTATATTCTTGCCTCCTTTGTCAAAAATAGGGTACCCATATGTGTATGGGTTTATCTCTGGGCTTTCTGTCTTGTTCCACTGGTCTGTATTGCTGTTTTTGTGCCACTACTGTTCCGTCTTAATGACTGTAGTTTTGCAGTATAGTCTGAAGTCAAGAAGGTGGATTCCTCCAGTTCCATTTTTCTTTCTCAAGACTGCTCTGGCTATTCAGGGTCTTTTGTGTTTCCATGCAAATTGTGAAATATTTTGTTCTAGTTCTGTGAAAAATACCATTGGTAGTTTGATAGGGATTGCATTGAATCTGTAGATTCCTTTGGGTTGTGTAGTCATTCTCATAATATTGATTCTTCCAAAAACATGGTATATTTTTCCATCTGTTCGTGTCATACTTGATTTCTTTCATCAGTGTTGTACAGTTTTCTGCATACAGGTCTTTTGTCGCTGGGTAGGTTTTTCCCTAGGTATCTTATTCTTTTTGTTGCAGTGGTGAAAAGGATTATTTTCTTAACTTTTCTTTCTGATTTTTCATTGTTAGAAGCACTGACTTCTTAAAGCAGTTTTTAAGCATAAGGGAAGGCCATGCTAAATGCAATAGCATTAGTATGCCTCTATTTCTCAAAGTTTGATATTATTTTTAGTCTTCTTATTTTAGTAAGTTGCATATATTATACTTTAAAAAAAAGAAACTTTAAAATTCTGGTCTCAGTTTTACACAGTTTTATACATTGTGTAATCACTATGCAGGTGGTGTTGTGAAGTACCAGTATATGTTGTTTTTGGCCCATTAAAACAGCTTGTTCATGTGTGTGTTACCAGAAAGAATTGCCATGAAAATTTTAAGTTTGTTTTGTTGTTGTTTAGTCACTGTGTCGTACTCTTTGCGACCCCATGGACTTCAGCATGCTGGGCTTCCCTGTCCTTCACTATCTCCCAGAGCTTGCTCAAACTCATGTCCATTGAGTCAGTGATACCGTCCAACCATCTCATCCTCTGTTGCCCCCTTCTCCTCCTGCCCTCATTCTTTCCCAGCATCAGGGTCTTCTCCAGTGATTCAGCTCTTCACATCAGGTGGCCAGAGTATTAGAACTTCAGCTTTAGCATCAATCCTTCCAGTGAATATTCAGGACTGATTTCCTTTAGAAGATTGACTGGTTTGTTCTCCTTACTGTCCGAGGGACTCTGAAGAGTCTTCTCCAGCACCACAGTTTGAAAGCATCAAAACTTCAACCCTCAGCCTTCTTTGTGGTTGAGCTCTCATGTCTGTCCATGTTTGTTTGCAGGTTTCATTTGTTCAGAGGTGCTCCAAATTTATTTTAAATTTCAGTGAGGTTCTATGTTGGTAAATCATGTTTTTGGTTGTTAATGAAAACTGATCATCTGTTGTTTGCATGTACATCTAAGCTATTATGGTTATAATCACTATGCTCTGCCTTGGATTTGAGCTGGTCATAAATGTTGAGAGATTCCTAGTGGGTCTAGGATTATTTAGTGTACTTCAAGCAGATTTGAACTGCTCTGAATAGATAGGGATTACCTTGGGACAGCAAAGAACTCTTGAGGCAGATCTGGTTTGAGAATGAAACCCCTCCAGACATTGTTAACCTAGACCATCCACTATCTAAATTCTTCTTAGGTGCAAGGTAGCTTGATTTTTCTATCAAGTAGTTTATATTTAACTTCATTAGAAACACAGTATAATTTCCAGAAATCAGTTTTTATCTTTAAGCTTTTTTCCTTAGGAATGAGCACACACACATAACATAGATTCAGAAATTTTGAATAGCTAATTTTGAAATGGATTGCCATTCCTATATGAGCTCACTGAGTAATATCAGTCCTCATAATACTTTGTCACAGTTTCACGATAACTGCTGCTAGAGCTTGCTTCTAATAACATTTTAGTAGATGACAGCTCTGTTTTAAAGACATAATTAGTAGCATTTATACTTTTAATTAGAGGCTTGTTAAGGGCCTGTCACTAATCCCTGCTGGTTACAATAAATGGGACCCAATTTAAATGGTTGTTTATTGCTTAACCACCACATTGTTGTTGTTGTTGTAGAAGTGACTGGCTGAGAAAGTAGATTAGAGTCTTCCTTTTAAAATAAATATCTTCAGAAATGCAACATGACCCAACAGAGATATTAACTGGGCTTATATTTCTTCTTTTTAGAAACTTGAGAATGAAAGAAAATTGTGTGAACTAGAGAAAAAAAGAAATTAGAAGTTGATAGGTTCATCATTACTCTGCTATGCATGTTACATAAGAACAGAAGAGAAATATTAGCATATACTTGTTAGATTTTGATTAATTATAAAATATAATTTTGTTTAAATGTTTATTTCCAAAAATATCCTCTAAATATTGACATAACTGACTATGTGCTGATGTTCAAAAACCAGAGGGTTAGTAAGAAGCTCCAGGTACAAGTTTAATGTGGGAGCATAGCTATGACCATAAGTTACAGTAAGAGATTTGATGCTTTTTAAAGTAAAGTATTCCTCTAGATAACAGATTTAAGATGAATTTGGGGCAAAGAAAAAATAAGCAGAAGAGAAAGTGTCCATGAATATTTCTTCCTTTTTAGAATTGTACTCTTAAAGTATCTTTAATAATAATAACAACAATACATTTCTGAAACTGGTGCTATTTTGTGCCTACAGTGCTAATAAGTGAAGTAAAAGCAAGTAAAGACTTTAGATCTTATTCTCCTCCTCCTCTTTCTCCTCTTAAAACATGCAGTTAAGAAAATAGTGATAAATTAGGATAATGAAAGTTAATGAAAAATTGTTTTGGTTTATGGTAGAGGCTATCAGCAAGACAAACATTATCCCATTCATTTTTGTATACTTATTTCATGAAATATTTAGTAGGGTTGTAATAGTATTTTTGGACAGCGGTGTACTCTTCAAATAGCAAGCCATCTTAAACATTTTAATAAGTATTAAAATAAGTAAAATTTAATTAAGGAAAGTTATTTATGTAATTGTGAATGTTTATATTTTTAATTAACCCTATCTCTTATTTTCAGAATTTATGCGAATTCCATGTGTGGATGCTGGATTGATTTCACCACTGGTGCAGCTGCTAAATAGCAAAGACCAGGAAGTGCTGCTTCAAACGGGCAGGGCTCTAGGAAACATATGTTATGATAGCCGTAAGTGTTGACATATCAGTGGTACACTTACAAACTTTTGTTTGAGTCATGATTTTTGTGATAATTCTGAGTGTTAGCACTATCTCTTCTAGCCTAAGACATTAACGTGGGGGCAGTATGACTTAGTTCTGCTTATGAAACTGAATTGATGGAAATTTGGGCCATAGTATTCTAAACTAAGACTTATCCAACATGAATTCTTTTTTGTGTGTGTGATTTCACAAATGATATTTTCAGAAGAAAGTAAGTAAGTTTCTAAGTTTTGGAGCTTTTAATTTTAGGGAAAAAATATCTTTTCAGTTAGGCTTTATTGAACTACCATCTCTGGATGATAATACTTCTGAACACATTTTTTAGTTTCTAAGTCTATCCAAATACATTTTAATTCCTTGCAATTCAGTAAAGCCATTCATAAAAACCATTATCTTCTCAAGAGCTAGATTGGTTTATTGCATCTTGCATTGACTCCATTCCTATTTGTCATAATGTCATTGTCATCCTCAACACTTTATACAATATTACTGTTCCTACTAGGCAAAGAGAAAGCAAGAACTTGGGTATGAGTATAGATATTGCAAAATTTTTACATTTTCTACCTTTTCTTCCCATATATGTGCAAATGAAATACAGAAAAAAAATCTTGAGTATAGTCAGTTTAATTAGACTTATCCTGATTTTCCTTTGATTTCTATTTTCTGAAACAAAAACACATTTTTAAACACTCACTTTTAGCATCTCCTAAGAATTTATTTAATTCAATAAAGTCACAAACATATTCATTTATGATAAAAGAAAGATATAAAAAAAAGATAGAAACCATAGTTTTCAGTTGTAACTTCTCTGTAGCAGTAGTGATAAGGCTAGCCTCATTTATTCTTTCCTTACTTTTTCTGAAATATCATGTTTTAGCTGAGGACACAGATATCTTTTATTATGAATTTTAATTGGAGAATCTGAGTCTCCAGTATTGTTTGTAAATTGACCTTACTTTGCCGCCTTTCCAGTTCTTACTTATCTTAGGGTATTATCTTTTTTTACAGAATCTCAGTGCTTATGTTTATAACTTTATGCTTTCACATTTAGAGTTTTTACTAAACACCATAGTTTATAGTATTACCTTTCAAGAATGAATGTGTATTTTATATGATTAATTTTAATAATATGCATTTAATAGACCACTGCAGAATAATCGGTAAAGATTGATTGCAGCTATTTGGAGCACAATCATTACTCTTTTTATTCTTCTGTGTTTGTTACTAGAATTTAAGGCTATCAAGTATTCTTTAATCTTTGTTCAGTTTAGATAGTCTTGAATTATGCATTGCTTGAACATCATAGGAATTAATCTCTTTTGAGTACTCTTGCTCTAGAGTTTCACTTAACATTGGCAGAATGAAAGAAATACCCAGAGTGATCTATTGTGTCATCTTGCTATGATTTTTATGGGCACGGTAATTTTACTTCTTCTGTACTCTAAAGAACCTTGAAGTTAGGGTAATAAATGTCTAGTTAATAAGACTGTCATTTTTGATGAAACTGAAGTCCAATATAATACTGTTTGTCATATCCGTTTACTCTGTTCTTATGAGGTATACTGTCTATAAAGTCTGTGGCTATGCTTTAGGCTATGAAGTTAATTTTTTTGTTTCATTTATTTGTGAATATAACCACTTTATTTTCATTTAATTCAATGAAAATTACAGCTGAATAGAAATTTAAGCATAGTAAATACAGACTAATTTTTATAGTTTTAGATCTTCTTTATGGAAAATGAATTTAGTAGTTTTAAAATGAATAAATACAAAAATTTATTTCTTTATAGTTTATTACTGTAAATTGTGTGGTAAAATGTGTTCACTGTGCCATGCTATCTTAAGCGTATAACTTCCATAATACTATATGCTTTCTTATCCTTTTATTTGAAATTAAATCTCTGTGAACTTATCAGTGATTCCTACAGAATAGTTGTAGGAAGAGTAGGCCCCTTTAATTATAAGAATGATAACAAAGTCTAGAAGTGTGATGCTATGTGGTTGACTTTTTAATTTAATTAAAATCCAGTGACATTTTATGACAATTGGGAGTTTGAAAGAACTAAAAAATTAGATTTATCTTTTTAAAAAGTATTGAATAATTTCTATTTTAATGAATGAATTAACCTTCTTCCCTCTTAATAATGTAATACTTCATTCCTAAAAGGAGAATAGACAACTATAAATGACAGCCATGTAAATAAAAGGAATCTTCTTCTTACAAATAACATGTGATTTAAAATTAAAATTTACATGTATATTTTATCAGACTTACCCACAGGACTGGTCAGTTTATTCTTGTTTTACAAATGTATTCCAAATGAATAACCTTTTAATGTGGGTTTATTTAGAATTTTATTGGGCCTACAATACATAGTAAAGTCAATGTATGGATAAAGTAACATAGAGAATTCAGTATTAGAGATAAAAGCTTAAGCAATGTGTGCATATTTTATAGATTTTTATTTGATAGTTAAAACATAAGGCATTTTCTAGCATATTTCAGTTAAAAGTTTTCTCTTTTTTAAAGAACAGCTCTCACTGTAAAAAGAATTGCACTTACCACAAAATTCATGGCCATCTTTTGAAAAAAGTAGGTCAATCCAATCAGTCCATCCGAAAGGAGAGCAGTCCTGGGTTTTCACTGGAAGGACTGAGGTTGAAGCTGAAACTCCAATACTTTGCCCACCTGATGAAAAGAGCTGACTCACTTGAAAAGACCCTGATGCTGGGAAAGACTGAGGACAGGAGGAGAAGGGGATGACAGAGGATGAGATGGTTGGATGGCATCACTGACTCAATGGACATGGGTTTGGGTAGACTGGGAGTTGTGATGGACAGGGAGGCCTGGTGGGCTAAGGTTCATGGGGTTGCAAAGAGTTGGACAGGACTGAGTGACTGAACTGGAACTGGAACTGGAATGTCCTTCTTTGCCTCTTATAGTCTTTGTTTCAATGTCTGTTTAGTCAGAAATAAATATAGCTACTTGGGTTTCTTTTCATAAAAAAAAAAAAAGTAGGTCAGATTTCAGTTTTACCAGTTTTGACAGTGCCCATTTTAGGAGCTCTTCCTAATGGAAGGAAACTGTCTTGTATAATCCTAACATCAGGTAATAGACTGATACAACTGCTAAATGGGGATGGAGTTTAGGCTTTGTTGCTGATGAACTTTTTGCATCCCAGTCTCTCTTGGATGTAGAGATGAAGAGTCACGGAGTGGGAACATTTTTCATTTAAAATGCTTAGTCTTTTTCTTGTGCTTCTAGAGAACTGCCAAGGCATTTATGGATTTCTCATTCCAAGTATACAAACAGACTTCTGATATAAGCATCATTTTTAAAAATTCTTTTACCTGTAACTTTGCCAAAAGTACTCTTTTTATAAGAAGTTTAACACCTTTTAGATCAAAGAAGAGAAAAAAATTATATTTTAATTTGGAAAGAAGTCAGCAAAGGTTTGATGGGATATGCTAGGGGGTGTGATTTTAAATAACGAAAAGTAATCTTGAATCTCAGAAATTCATACCTTTGACTTACTTAATTACACGTTTCTCTCAAAATTGATATGGAAAAAAATGAGCTCTTTCTTTCTCCTTAACTGGCCATCTTTGTGGTATTTTTTGTGTATATAGCTTTGTATGTTTAAAATTGCTCATATACTTAAGTGGTCTTATTAAAGAGCTTCATGTTAAATTCCCACTCAGTGTTTATAATTTGCAGGGATAAATTAGTGACTAGAGTCTCAGCTTTCTGTTTGTAGATTTTACTGCTTGAGGTCAGTAAATAACTGTTATTGGAAATACTGGTTAAAAAGTCATTTAGTAGAGCCTAAAAGAATATGATTGCATGAAATTAAATATTTGCGCCTTTTGTATACCAGAGAAAGAGTACGAACAATTCAAATTGTGTGTGCGTGCATGAGTACTCAGTTGTGTCCAACTCTTTGTGACCCTGTGGACTGTAACCTGCCAGGTTCCTCTGTCCATGGGATTTTCCAGGCAACAATACTGGAGTGGGTTGCCATTTCCTACTCCAGAGGATCTTCCCAACCCAGGGATCGAACCTGCATCTCCTACATGTCTTGCATATAATAGATATTAAAATTGAATATACCTATTTATAGATATAAAATCAATGCTTGTAATTATATAATTAGTCCTGTTATTAGAAATGTGCACACTTAAGAAGGTTGTATTATATGCTATCTTATTTGATGTAAAGAAACTTAAATTCTTGCTCACTGAACAAATAAATATACCAAACTGAGGTGGCAATCTGGAGAAGGAAATGGCAACCCATTCCAGTATTCTTGCTGGGAAATCACATGGGCAGAGGAGCCTGGCGGGCTACAGTCCATGAGGTTGCAAAGAGTTGGACTTGACTGAAGCGACTTCGCTGCAGCAGCGGAAGTGGTAATCAGGCTTGCTGAAGCTAGTATTTATGAAGTGGACTAAATTTTGTTTATTTCAATGACTTCAAGAAGTGTAAAAAGGAAAGGGTGCCCAAGTATTCAATATATGTGTGGACCTATTTGTATGTTACTGATTCTAACTATGCTACACTGTTTCTGTATAAGGAATAAAGAAAAAATCTGTTATTTTAACTGAAAATGCTGAAAAACAATTAGCAGTAACTCTAATATTTCATAGTGTAAGTTGGTTAGATAAGAATAATACAAACATGCTTTGAAATTGTCTAAATAGTTAGGGTATATTTGCAGCAGTTATATTCAACATGGAACTACTAATACTTAGGTCTTGCATTTAAAATAAATTTTTATTTCAGAGATATAAATTAGGTTAAATATTTGTTTATTAACATGTTTGCAGGTCTATATATTTGTCCTTTTTTTTGATATTCAGCTTTAGAGTAGAATTATCAAACAAGTTTAAAAATAAGACTTTTCAGCTTTTATCAATTAATGTTATATTTTTAATGAATTTATTATCAATGTGCATCACGTATTTAAG